AAGAAAATAAAACGCTAGATCTATGAAAGATAAAAATGAAAAAATCAATGCTACGTATTTGACAATATATTTTTAAACATGAAATTTAAGCGAACGTTGAAGTATTACCCGCTTTTTCCTCTTATAATAATGAAATATTTGAATTATTTGTTGAAAATGAAGAAAGCATTACTTTATATGATATTATTGTTGTTTTATTGTTATTCTTTCTCCTTTTCCATTCTTTGTGATATGAAATTCAATCAGAGAAGTTTACTTTCAATTTCATTGCAAAAATTTCAAAGAAAAAGAAAAATTGCCATTTCAACAAAATTTTCTTCTTTTAATAGAATATTGCTTTTTCCCTTCTCATGTTATTTTAATAGCATATAATTTTATTAGAAAATATTTCTATACATTATACATTTACATTATTATTACAAATCATATTTAATTAACGACGACGACGATGACGATGATGATGATGATAACGATGATAATGATGCTGATAGCGAAAGATAGCAACGACAATGGCAACGCAACGACAATGACGTGAATGATGAAGGCGACAACGTTACGATGGCATCCATTCTTTTCGATTTTCTTTCTTTTTATGCTTAAATTGACATTTTTTACACAAATATATTAATAAAAGGAAATAGTTAACATTGGAAAATTATGTAATTAATAATAATAATAATAATAATAATAATAATAATAATAATAATAGTAATAATAATAATAACAATAATAATAATAATAGTAATAATAATATTTATATTTATATTATTGTTAACTTTTTTCTAAATTTATTATAATTTTATTTCATTGCGCAAAATTTCTAGTGAAAGTGTTAATTAAGAAAAAGAATATTTTTCCAATGTTTTTAATATAAAAATTATTCTCTTTCAATTATATTATCAAAGAAAAAAATTATTTTTTTGATTTAAAAGAAAATTTCTTTATATTTGTCAATTTTTATCACTGATTTTACATATATTACTTTAATGAATTATAAACGAAATACAATAAATAATTGACATTATACCGCGGAATTTTCCTTCTTTTCTAACTCTTTTCCTCTTCCCCGCCTTCCCGAGAAAGCTTATAATTTTACTTCTTCTGGCATATAACCATACTTATCGATATTGAATGATCGCTTAGATAGACGTAAATCATAATGGTATAAATATAATTGAACAATTTATTATAACTTATTCTCAAAAAGCTTCGATAGAATTATTTTATTTTATTTTAATTAAATCAATATTTCTATTAATAATTATAAAACGGAAATGAAGCAAAAGAAATACTTATAAACTATGTGTGTATAAATTATAGAGGAGCTAAGCTAAGAAACTGATAACAAACTGATAACAGTTAGATCAGTTTGAATAAAGAAAACAAAAAACTTCTTTTTGCTTCTTTGAATAGTTTATACATTATAATATGATATTAGAGAAGGAAAAAGATGAGATGAATTATTACGGTTCCGGAATATTTTATTGTGATCAAATACCGAACATTAATGTCATGATTGTTTGCTATTAACCGATTAAAGCATTCACTGCTACACATTCTGTATCGTATCGTTCTAACAGTAAATGTTCAAACAATTCTGTTTCTAATGTTTGTACTAAAATCATTTCCATTATTTTCATTTCTAAATATTAGCATAATTTTGGAAATCTTATCGAATTTTTCTATCGTAAATTTTTATTAATCCATTTCATATTAATCAATAGTATTGCAAAAGATACTAAAGGCATTACAGTAAGAAAGATATTTTAGTTAGATTATCTATACATTTCAATTAATATCAAATTTTTAAAATTATTCAATCAATTATTTGAAAATATCCAAAATTCGCTTCAATATAGGAATAAACTTTCAAAATTAAATTGTTTAAAAATTAAAAGTTTATTTTTGCAGTACACTGATAGTTTTTACGGTAGTAAATTCTCATAATCCCTTTTTTACAAGCCCTCTTCTTATTCAATCTCTTCTTTTCACTATTCAATAAACAATAATTTCAGTTTCCTATGTAAATTTGATTCATTCCCGTGATACTATAATCATCGACATAGTCGAGATTTTCCAAATATCTTTTATTGATAAGACTTTAGCAATAATACATCTTCTTCCTTATTTCAGGATATTCCAACTTGTTTGAAGTTATGGTGTGATAATTATTTTGTGCTAGTTAATAATGCAATTTAGATTGCTAATTTTCATTTTAGATTATGTAATTAATCAATTTCTACATTATATGCTAATGGGATTGAATATTGAATTGAATTTAATTAATAAAATTTTCAAGCTATAGTATTCAAAATATTCTTAATATATTCTCTAAAAAAGCAAGCTGGAAGCAAAATTTTGAGTGTGCAATAAAAAAGAAGCATTTATAACTTGCAATCTTTGACATATTCTATCCTTAGGAATTTAATTTACAAACGACATGGAAAATGTACATCATATGAGCTCAATCAGTTGAATCACAGTCATTTGTAATTTGAAAAAATGAATTATTGAAATTGTAATTTATCTCCGTGATATTTAGATAGGTATGAATTTATGTAGAAGGAAGCAGTAGATTTGATTAGTTTCATTAAATTTTTTAGTTAATTAAATGTTACTATTTTTAAAAATGCAAAATCTTACTTACTGGCTATAATGGCCAAATGAGATTTGATTCAAATTGGACAAATCATATATGGACGCATATGATTGAGTACTAATGTAATTAGGATCGTTATAAATTAAAACATCTGTTATTAAGCGTTGTAGTAATTTTCAACTAATATTGACAATTGATCGAGAAGACAAGAGATAAAGGATATGCGAAAGATAATTATATGGTAATTAAACGATGCATCGAATTTTTTCAATGAAGGTTGAGAAATTCCATTTCATTAATGAAATGAATATCTATTTTCATTTTAATCCATTTCTTTTTTACTTTAAATAAGCTTAGAAATAGCAAATAAACTATCATTTAATATTATCAGTTTTGCAATTTGATTAAATTCATTTTGAAACAATTTATTTAAATTTAAGCTGCAGTTTAAATTCAATAGAATTTATGCTGTTAATGAAATTTGAATTTATAATTTAAAAGAAAGATACTATATCATAGGAATAGGATAAGGATGCTATCGCATATAATTTTGCAACATTGTTTTTAGTAAATTTTCCTCTCGCAATATATTCCTGATAGTAATAGCATTATATTACTGACAAATTGAAAATTTTATTTCACTGAAGGTAGTACATGTTAAGGGATGGAAACCATTTACTAACTAGTAAATGTTTAATGAATGTGTTGCTTGCTAGATTGACAACTCTCGACAATCAACCAAAGATCCCATTCACCATTCACTCTATCCTGGCAATCTCGGGATGGAATCATCCAAATTTTTGAGTAAAATTGCAATCATAGACCTAAAATTGCTGCTTAAAAATTCACCCTTACCTCTCCAACTCCTCCTCCTGTCTCATTGTCCATTTTTTCTTCTACAACTTGGTTTTGTGAATGAAAGGCCTAGCATGTCTTTATTGACATAACGATCATCAGGATTGCGAAAGGAGGAATTACGGCCCGAAAGAGGCAGGGCCAAAGAGGCTAACCTATCTTCTACACAAGCCTTATCACATTGATCCTCCAATCCCCACACATCGATCCTCCATCTCATCCCATTCCATCCCATCCTGTCGCGCCACACGTGTCCCCCCTCCCCTACTACTACTACTGCTACTACGACCTCCACCCATTTCAATAACACCAACAATTCCATCATGCTGTATCAGAATGGGCACCGATTCCCTCCTCTCTCATTTTTAGACTCTTTTTGTTACTGCATTTACTAATAACTCTAATTATATATCCTTATCATTTACCATATCGATCCTTTACTACTTTATCTTGCCCGTAAACTGCCGTAAACTCTACCTGCCCGTAAACTCCACCTGCTCATTCATATTCCATATGTTTCTTTTTAGTATCAATGCGATCGATTCTTCTTTTTTAATGATCATCTTCAATGCCACGCACATTTTAAATCCTTCGACTTTCACATTTTATACTGAATTTTTAATAATATAAAATATTATTATTTCAAATTTCTCTTTATATATATCAAGTTAATTTGTAAAAAAAAACTCAAAACTATAAAATTTAAATTATCAATTTTTTTCTAAATATTTTTATAATCATTTGTTTTCATTCTCTTTTATTTGCTTTTCTTCGCTTTTCTTCTTCAATTTTCTTCTTTCTAATTAGCAATAACTATTAATGAATATTAATTTACTTCAGAATATTATTTATTGTCTTATTGACTAATTTTGTTTGTTGATATAATTATCTAAAAAAATAGAAACACTTTTAAGATTAATTTCCATAATTTCAAATATTATTTAATCAGGTAAAAAAGATGAAATGTATTGTATACCGAGCGGGGGAAAATGAAAAGCAAAGAGAATCTGGGGGATCGGGTGAGGAAGATGGAGCGGGGGTTGGGAAACGAGAAAGAAAGGATTGGGAAAGAGTGAATAGAGAAGTATTTGATTGCTGTGCAAATATTATGGATGATGATGGATCGAAGACCGAATAAAAAGAAGCAAAAACTTGTTTGATGTATTGGGTTCTGTTTGGGTAAGTTTCTACCTTTTTACTTACGCAAAGTTTTATATTATAATACTCTCTCCTATTCTAATAATATCTTTCGTTCCCTTCTTTCTCTTTTAAAACTTCCCTTTCTTTCAAACCTCTGCTCATTTTCTCTGTCAAATTCCCTCAAAGAGTTGCTTCTGTTTTACCTGCATCATTTATCTCTATATTTCTCTCATGTTTTTCACATGCTTGAAAAATAGTTTAAAAAAAAGAGAAGAAGAGAGAAAGAGAAAGAGAGAAAGAGAATGAAAGAAAGGAGAAGGGAAGGAATACAATCAACAAATTATAATAAAGGTGACAGACATACTGATAAGTGACAAATAGTAGTAATTCTTACCAGTAATTAAATTTGTTGTAATCATCTAGTGAAAGTAGACATGAAAGGGAAGATAATATGCTTCGGTGTTTTTTCTCTCATTAACTAATTAATTGGACCAACTTTAGATAAAGAATGATTTTAAACTCTTCAATATTAATATACTTATTTCTATTTCGAAAAAAAAAACGTCCCTTATTAATATCAAATTAATAAAATAAATTTGAAATTTTGCTTTGCGAAATTTATCTGTCATTTCATCGAGGCAGTATGAATGAAATTTCGTAATTATTTATTAGAGTAATACAATGAATGAATCATTTTCCTTCTTCATAATACGTATATGTGTAAATGTCCCTTTTTATAATCACTCAATTCTTTTGTTGAATTTATTAATTTCATATAATTTTCAAATTTTAATATGTAAAATAATATACGAATATTCTCACTGTACAGTTATTCTTTGTTGGTATTTGAAAAAAAATTCAAATACTGCAAAATTGACTAATAGTATTTGATGAAAATGAGATTAATAAATATTATTTCAGTGAAATATATTTCAATTGAAATAAAATGTTCAAATTTCCCTTTCAGACAATACAAACAAAATAACTTATTTTACATTTATTATTATTATTATTAATTTGATATAATTTTCTTTTGTTTACAAGCAAATTAATTAATTCATTTATTTGTATATAAAAATTTTTAGCATAAAAAAATTTAAAAAAGCAAATTTCTCGTTTGTTTTCTTCCATTCATCTCTTCCTATTTTCTTTTTCTATGTGTCATTTGAAATTATTTATTTGTTAAATTAATGATAATAAATGCTACGTTGTTTTGTTTGTGTGTTTGTGCTGATATTTTTGTTATCATAGTGTGATTGCTAATTGATGCACCGTTCCGCCTACTGCTGGTTGGTATGTTTGATTAAAAATGAGAAGAATGATTTTTCTTTTTTATCTTTTGAAACCTTTTGAAATCAATACTAGCAAATGTTTTTCATTATTTCTTACTTCTATTTCTACTCTCTGCATAGATCTATGTATATGTGTATGTGTATGTGGTGATGTTTTGACATACACACACATACACACACACACACATACATATATGTAAATGTTGTATATTGGTATCCTCTAATAATTATACCTGTGGACGAGAATTACTTTAATGAGGAAGTCAAGGAAGTATTTAAAAAGCGATAGAACGAAGGGAAAAAAAGACGAAAAAACATCTATCAATTCAATATTTTAAAAAATAAGTGAAAAGTACTTTGTACGTAATGTACGTGAAGTAATCGTTTCGTTTCTCACTATTTATTATTATCATTATTATTATTATTATTATTATTATTATTATTATTATTATTATTATTATTAT